GTCTCTTCCCTGTCTCATGAGACCATTGGCACTATCCAATTAGGACCCCACTCTTATGGCCTCATTTAACTTTAATAACCTTCTTAAAATCACTGTCTCCAAATACAGTCACAGAGGTGGTTAGGACTTCAACATAAGTGTTCTTCAGGAAAACAATTCAGTCCATAACATCTTCTACACCATTTCAACCCATTATTGTCTTTAGCTTTTGGTCTTAAAAATCTACTTTGCCAAATATTGGTACAGCCACATGAGGTTTCTTATGTTTGGCATTTGTGTAAATACCCATTTCTACTCTTTTATCTTTAGCCTATCCAAGTGCTGGTATTTAAAGTACATCTCTTGGGGCTGGGGTTGGGGCTCAGCAGTTGAATGCTTGCCTAACACATGTGAGGCACTGGGTTCCATCCTCAGTATAACATATAAAATAAATAAAATACCACCTATAACTAAAAAAGTTTTTAATTTTTTTTAAAAATTGCATCTCTTGTAAACAGTGTTACTCTGTCTTTGTTTTGTCATTCAGTCTGACGAACCCTGCATTCTAATTGGAGTGTTTAGATTGCGGGGGGGTGCAGTACTGAGACTGAACTCAGGGGCACTCTACCATTGAGCCACATCCCCAGGCCTATTTTGTATTTTATTTAGAGACAGGGTCTCACTGAGTTGCTTCATGCCTCACTTTTACTGAGGCTGGCTTTGAACTCAAGATCTCCCTGCCTCCGCCTCCAAAGCCACTGGGATTACAGGAGTGCACCACCATGCCTGGTGTATTTAGACTTTTTGTTTAATAAAATCTGTGTTTGTTTCAATTCTGCTACTTGCTTTCTACCCGTTTCCCTCTGTTCTCCTTTTTGTTGTTCCTCTTTCCTGTTGCTAGTTAATTAAGTATTTTTTGAGTATACTAGTTTATTTATTAGTTTTTAAATTATACCTTTTTATACTTTTTGTTTTAATAATTACAGATCATAACATGCATCCATAACTTGCCATACATTATCTTCAAATAATACAACGTTCACACATAATTTGGGATCCTTACAATAGCACACACACAGTCTATGACTTAGGATAGTTTGGTTTAAAGTTTGTCATTTCTGATTGTGCAAAGTGTAGCTGTACAACAACTGAATTATAGGTGATTTCACTTTCAGCACAGTAGTCAACTAATTACATGACATACTCAACACCTTTTTTAAAAGTCAGCTTTGCATTATATGATTTTACCCAACTGTAAGTTAATATGAGTATTCTGAGCACAATTAAGGTGGGCTAAGCTAAGCTATGATGTTGGGTAGGTTGGGTATATTAGATGCACTTTGAACTTACTGCATTTTCAATTTATAATGGGCTTGTTGGGATATAATCCCATTGTAAATCCAGAGGATTCATTATCACATTTACCTACAATCCTTCCTGTATGTTATTACTGCTAAATATTATGTTTCCACATAAATTATAAACTTCAAAATGTAATGTTACTATTTTTACATTGAAAAGTTATTTTTCTTTTTTTTTTGGTACCTGGGATTGAATCCAGGTTGCTTAATCACACCCCCAGCCCTTTTTTATATTTTATTTAGAGACAGGGCCTCACTGAGGATGGCTTTGAACTCGTGATCCTCCTGCCTCAGCTTGCCAAGCTACTGGGATTACAGGCATGCATCACTGTGCCCATCGGTATAGCTAACTTTTGAACGATTTAAGAAAATAAAAATATATTGTTATTTTTATCCACGTTTCCTACACGGCATGTTCTTTGCTCCTTCCTGTAGATCCAAATTCTTTCCAGTAACATCTCCCTTCACCTTGAAAAACTTCCATTAGCATTTCTTGGACAACAGGTATGCATTCAGAATTTTTCTCTGCTTTTAACTAAATACACTTTTATCTGCCTTCCTTTCTGAATGCTGTCTTTATTACACATTTAATTCAAGGTGGGTAATATATTTCTTTCAGGTACTTAAAGATGCCATTCTATTGTTTTCTACCCTTTCATTTTTATAACGTGAAGTCACCTGTAATTCTTACTGTTTTCCTGAATATAAAGAATATTTGTACTTGACTTCTTTAAGAAATAAAGAAGCCAAACTAAAACTAGTTTTAGTTTCAGAAGTTTGTCTTATCAAATATCTGAGTGTGATTTTCTCTGTATTTATCTTGATTGGGAGTCACTGAATTTTCTATGATTGGGAGATACTGTTTTTGACCAATTTTGGAAAACTGATAGGGAGAGGTATTATTAAAATTGTTTTTAAATTCTTGTTGCTAATTCTAATCCCTGGACTTATTTCTATTGATTTGTTTCTCTATAGATTATGTAGATTATGTTTATCTGTTTCTTCCTTAATATTTTTTTAATTTTAGAAACAATCTCAAGTTTTCAAAAAAGTTACACATGGAGCAAATATATTGAACACTTTTGTAGGTCTGTATTGCCTATAACAAGGATTTTTCTCCAATATAAACAAATGTAGCCATCAAAGTCAAGAAATTAATACTACTTTATTACTACCACCTCACCTTCAGGATTGCTTACCTCAGTAACGTCTTTCTTCAATAAAATAAATTTTTCAGAATTTTTAAACATATAAACATTGCCATAAAACTATAAAATATAGAGGTAATGAAACAAATTATTTTCATATGAATTTACAATTGAGTTTGTAACCTAGATTATACACAATGGAATACTATTCAGACAAAAAATAATGAAATCCTGTCATCCAACATGAATGGAACTGGAGATCATTATCTTAAGTGAAATAAACCAGGCACAGAAAAACAAGTACTACGTTAACGTTACTGAGTTACCTCACTCATTTGTGAAATATGAAAAGGTTGCCCTCATAGAAGTTGAGAATGGAATGGTGGGGACCAAGGGAATGGTGCAGGGATGGGAGGGGAAGGCTGGTCAATGGGTACTAAGTTTCAATCAAGCTACTTATTATAAAATAGTTTAGTCTAGAAACTAATTTTTCAGATTTTATATGCACACTTGGGATTAACATAAAATATTGTGTGATTAGATATCATGTCTCTTTAGTCTCCCTTTCAGAAAGTAACAATTTCTGTCTTACCTGGAGTCTTTTGATGATGATAGATCACTGTTTCATAGCCTGTCCCTCGATATATACTTGTCTCAACTTTTCCCATCATACATTTCAGTTATGCATCACTGGCTGGGCTAGCACCAAAACCAATTGTATCACATGAGGTGGGGTATGATTTTTATCTATCCCACTAATAAAACAAATTGTGGCTTCACATGCACAAGGCCCTGGGTTTAATACTCAGCACCACAAAAAAAAGAAAAAAAATGTGCACAGAAATTTTACCAAGAAAGACCATATTCTGAGCCCTAAAAATAAATATAAGAGGATTCAAATATACAAGATTTTTTTCCTTTGACCACAGTGAAATCAGATTAGAAATCAAAAAACTAGAAAAATACCTCCAAAATCACTTAGCATTTGGAAACTAAATACTGCACAGCTTAATAATCCAAGGTCAAAGAATAAATTAAAGGAGAAACTGTAAAGCATTTTGCATTGAATGAAAATGAAAACACAACATAGCAAAATCTATGGATATATTAAAGCATTACTTATGGATAATCTGTAGCATGAAATGCCTACATTGGTAAAGGGAACAGGTCTCAAATCAATGACCTAATATTCCACTTTAAGAAGCCAGAAGAGTACAGGATCGGGTTATGGCTCAGCAGTAGAGCCCTTGCCTCACACATGCAAGGCCCTGGGTTCGTTCTTCAGCACCACATAAAAGTAAATAAATAAATAAATAAATAAAGTGATTTTTTAAAAAAAAAGGGAAGAAGCCAGAAAAGTAAAGTCAACCAAATGTAAGAAGAATAAAGATAATAATGGAGAATATAATGAAATAGAAATCAGAAAAGCAATCAAGTAAATCATGAAGCTGAAAAGTGGCTCTTTTGAAAGTAAAATTTTGATAAAGCTTTAGTTAAATTGAGATGAAATAAGAAATAGAGATGACATAAATTACATAAATTAGTCAAATGAGAAATCATATGACTAAGGCTTCTATGGATATTAAAAGGAAAACACAGAAATATTGGGAACAATATTAATGTCAATAAATTGAACAACATAGATATAATGGACAATCTTTTAAAGATATAAACTACCAAATCTCAACAAGAAGTAATAAATAATATTTATACTGACAGAACTACATTTGGTAAACTAAATGAACTTATTGTTAAAAACCTTCCCACAAATGAGATCAAGGAGATTATGTTGTATACATATATGAATATGAAACAATGAATCCCACTATTATGAATAATTATAATGCACTAATGAAAAAGTTTTAAAGCTTTTCTACAAAAGAAAGGTCTAGAAAATAATGAAGATGAAAGAGCTTCATAAACAATTTTAATATAAGAAGTTATTTGCAAAAATCTGTGCAAGTAGATTTTAAGCCTAAGAGAAATGAATAATTTTTGAGGAATTCTTAAGTTACCATAATTTATCTCACAAGTGATAGAAAATCAAAATAAAATGATTTCCAAATAAATAAAGTAGTACAATAGCACTACCTCTTAAAAATAGTGACAGCCTAGAGTGTGTAACAGAGACATTATAACCAAGTTTTAAAGAGCAAGTGATCCTACTATCAGAGCCTCAGGAAAAGAAGGAATTTTTTCCAGTTGTTATTATGAAGCATATATTTTAATATTGTATCAAAACCTGGTGGTAAATATGCACACAATATTTTATATTAATCCCAAATGTGCATATACATGCCAAAATCTGAAAAATTAGCAATCATGAATGAGCACATTAAAAATAAAACATCATCATTTCTGCTTCTAGTATGAAAGAGTAAAGCATTTAACAACCCAATCCTTCTATAAATGACAGTTAAAAACTTTGGTGAAAAAAATTTTAATTTTTTTAATAGTGTCCAAAACATCTGGGATACAATTCAAAATTAATAAATAAAAAGTCAACCACTACCTGGAGGCTCTGAAGAGTGAATGAAGGCTGCAGACAGGGGCAGACGGGTCGAGCTTCCTGTCTCCTGACTGCTCTGGGTGTGGCAGCACTGTCATGGTGGTCCTGAGCAGCAGCAGCTCCAATGGAGAAGCATATCATTATTCTCACTGAAAGAACCAAAGGCAAGAGATCAGGGAAACCAGGACTGCCAAAGAATGTAGACGACACACATACAGAGAAAGAGAGAAGAAAGAGGAAGAAAAAGTGGAAAAGGGAGAAAGAAACCCAAATCTGTGCATAGACTGCCTAAGTTTCTGGTTCCCCTGAAATATGTGCAGGGCAGCTTGGAGGCAGTCTGAATGGATCTCTGAATTGCCACTCTCCACAGGCAAGGCAGAGTGTAAGTATGACTCTTGCAAGTTAATTGCTTGATAAAAATGAAACATCAATACCATTTGGAACAATATATCAAAATCCAGAGCCTCCACAACATAGTGTCCAAAACATCTGGGATACAATTCAAAATTAATTGATGTACAAAGAACCAGAAAAAAAGACCCATTCTCAAAGGAAAAGAAAATTAACTGGAGGTTTATCCAGAGAAGAACCAGACGTTGGAATTATCAGGCAAGCACTCAAAGGTATTCATTATAAGGATGCTCAAATGGATCAATGAAAATCTGCTCCAAATAAATATAAAGATCAGCAATATAGCAGAGAAACAAAAAAAATGTATATCTGAAAAGTTTAGTATCTGAAATTTTTTAAAGTTCACTATATGGCTTATTTGTAGAATGAGATGATGGAGTAAAGTATCAGTGAATTTGAGGAAATCGAACAAGATGAAGAGTAAAGGGGAAAGACAGGAAAAAATTATGAGCTTCAAGGACACATGGAACAATTTTTTGAAAGGTCTGACATATACTACTGGGGTTCCCAAAGGAGAAGAAATTAAAAATGTAACAGGAAAATGAAATAAAAATGATACACCAACCTCTCCCCCAAATTTGTTAAAAGATATGAATGTGCAGATTTAAGAAGTTCAATTCTAGAGGTCAAAAGTCTGAAATGGGTCACACTGAACTAAAATCAAGGTGCCAGTCGAAGACTGCATTCCTTTTTGGAGACCATCAGAGAATTCATGCTCTTACCCTTTTCAGCTTTTAGAATCATGGTCTCCTTTCATCTTCAAAGTCAGCGATCACATCACTCTGACCTCTGCTTCAAACATCACATTCCTTCTCTGACTCTCTCCTCCCTCCCTTGCATGAGGATGCTAGTGTCTATACGGGGATCCCCTGAATGAATCCAGGACAATCTTCCTATCTCAAGATCCTTAACTACACTGCAAAGTCACTTGTTCTATGTAAGGAAATCCAATCACAGGTCTCAAAGATTAAGTCATGGACATCTGTGGGATGACCATTATTATGCTTACCACATATACCAAATGAAGGAGAGACAGATAATCAGGTCAATGAGATGAATTATTCCATGGATATCAGTTGGACTATTTATCCAGCCACAGTATTTTCCCAATGGGCTCATAAATAATGGGGCCATGAGAGCAGGGATGGAGGTCATAGAGACTTGGATTTCCCATCAAAAAACTTGATCCTACTTCCACCACTGCTGAGTGCCAACAGCAGAAGCCAACACTGAGCACTCAGAATAACTGTTCCACCCTATTAGATGCCATGCATCATGAAGGGGGTATAATGGTTGGATATGAGGTGTCATCCAAAAGCACTTGTGTTAATGTTCAGAGGTGAAATTATTAGATTTTGACAGCCGTCATTTAATGAGTGAATTAATTCATTTGATTAATTCAAATCAATATCTATCTCTTCCCCCCCCTTTTGACTTTCTCTCCTTCTCTCCTTCCTGGCTGCTCTGACCAGTGCAAATTTCCTCTGCCATGCCTTCCACCAGAGCAATGGAGCTGAACAACTATATACTGAACCTCTGAAACCATGAACCCAAAATAAACTTGTACTCCTCTAAGTTGTTCTTGTTGGATATTTTGGTCACAGTAATGTGCAGCTGACTAACACAAAAGTTGATACTAAGAAGTGGGATTGTTGCTGTGATCATACCTGACTATATGGTTCAGAAGACTTTGAAACTGGTTTACAGGAGAAGTTTGGAGAAATTTGGAGAGGCAGGCTGGAGAAGCCTTAGGATGTTGTAAACAGCACTTAAAAGATTTGTAATGGTTAATTTGAATTGTCAACATGATTGGATTAAGAGATGCCAAGGATTATGTCAGTGTGTCTAGATGCCAAGGGTATGTCAGTGTGTCTAGGAATGATTGGCATGTGGGATAGCCAACTGAAATGGAGACCTTCCCTAAGCATGGGCAGCAATGACCAACAGGATGATGGCTTGGATAGAATAAAAGTTGGAAGAATAAGGAAGCAGCAGCAGATGCAGGCTTGATTCTTCTTGAATAGGTTTTTGATTGCTACTGTGATCGTCTGTGGATATCAGACTCTCGCTTCTTCAGTCTTCCAAAGCAGACTCTGTCAGTGATTCTCCCAGAGCCTTTGGTCTCAGACTAGGGTAGCACCTTTGATCCCTCTTGTTCTCGGGCTTCAGCCTCTTGGACTGCACAGCTACTGGTTCTTCCAGTTCTCCAGCCTGCAGATGGCCATTGTGGACTATCCAGCTTCTGGTCATGTAAACCAAACCTAATAAATCCCCTTTTTATAATTTTACTTCCTGTGATTCTGTTCCTCTAGAGAATGCTGACTAATACAAGGTGATTCTGATAGAGCTCAGAGGACCAGAATGCTAATAGGAATGTGGACAGTAGAGACTATTCTCATGAGTTTTCAGAAGGAAACAAGGACTCAATTGGGTATTGAACTAGAGGTCACGTGTTACATTCCAGCAAAGTGCTTTTCTATATTTTGCTCATGTCCTGAGAGTGAATGAGGCCAAATTTAAAAGTGATGGAGTAATTAATCTGGCAGAGAAAATTTCAAGGCAGCACAGCACTCAGATGGTAGTATGGATATTGCTGCCGAGCGTTAGCCAGGTTTACTGTGATAATTGAAAGCAGAAAACAGAGGAGAAAGATTTGAAAATTTTACAATTTGGCCAGAAAATCATAAAACTAGTGTCAGGAAGTTGTGGTTATTGAATAGATTACTACCACAAAGAGAAGCTAAATCCTTTTCATAGACGGTAGGAAAGATGACTTGAGGGCCTATCAGAAATCATCAAGACCAAGCCCATGGCAGGCTCAAGGGTGTAGAAGTGAAAACTCACTTGAGAGACCTTGGGGGTACACTGCTCTCCCAGGGGTGCCTAGAAAACAGTATCCCAAGGATTCATTTCCCCATGCTCAGGTGCCCAGGCACTCAGAGGCCACTGAAGCCATGGATAAGGGTCCAAGAGGGCCCAGCTACTGCTCAAACTGGCAGTAAATCTTGCTGTCATCCAACGGTGCTGGTTCTGCAGAAACTCAGGATGCTGAAGCTAAGGGATCATGGAAGTCTCCACTGAGATTTCAAAGGAAGGCCTGAAAGATCAGGAAAAGTATAGCAGGGTTAGAATCCCTGAATGCACTCCCTGATGGGGTGGTATGTGAAGATGTGAAGGCAAAGGCGGAAGCAGAAGCTGGAATGGAGAACCCCTCACTGCCCTCCCTCCAGATTAAGAGATGCCAGTAACAGGGAACTCCTGCCAATGAAAGCTTTGAGCTGGGGATAGAGCCAGACTAAGAGAGAGGCTATGTGGGCCAAAACAGATAACAGGGTGGGGCTTCCCAAGCCTCATGGAAGTTACATAATTCTGTCATGCACCCCAGATCTGGACATGGAGCAACAGGACCCAATGTTTTGGTTCCATTCCTTCTTTTATGCCCCCATCCCTCCTATTTGGAATAGGAATGTTTACCCTGTACCACTATATATTAGATATATCATACATATCTTTTGATTTTTACGGGGATTCACAGCTAAGAGTTTGCCTTCACTCTCAGAGGAGACTAGAAGTGGACTTTTAGGCAATGTTGGAACTGTTAAGACTTCAAGGACTGTTGGAGATGAACTAAATGCATTTAACATTGTGAGATGGACAGGAGCTTTTGGACATCAGGGGCAGGATGCCATGGTTTGGATATGAGGTGTCCCCCAAAAGCTTCTGTATTGGTATTCAAGGGAGGAATAACTAAAAGATTATTCCAGCAATAATATATTACTTCCCCTCTTATGTTAATCAACTTTGTGTTGCTGTGACCAAACCCAACAAAAACAACTTATAGGAGGAAATGTTTATTTTGGGCTCATAGTTTTAGAGGTTTAATCCATGGCTGGCTGAGTCATTAACTAGTTGATTAATCCATTTGATGGATTAATAATTTGAGAGGACTATTGTACTTGATGGTAACTGTAGGCAGGTAGGACATGGCTGGAGAGAGTGGATCACTGGGGGTATGCCCTTGGAGATTATGTCTTGTCCCCCTGGCTTCTTCCCCCTTCTCTCTCTCTCTCTTCCCTTCCCTCTCTCCATCCTTCCCTTCCTCCTTCCATTGGATGGAGGACACCATGAGAAGTGAAGCTTTTCTCTGCTATGCCTTCTACCATAATGTTCTACCTCACTCAGGCCCAGAGCAATGGACTTGACCAACCATGGAATGAACTCTAAAACCATGAGCCCTAAATAAACTTTTATTCCTCTTAGTTGTTCTTGTTGGATATTTTGATCACAGTGATACAAACTTACTAATACAAGGGGGAAGCAATTTGACCCTCCTGGAATGAACACTTTTATTAATTTGTCTTCTCTTATTATTGTAGTTCTGCCAGGAGTGGCATCTATGGGCTTTCTAAACACTTGATTTACCCTTACACCATCCCTCTCAACACTGTTTCTATCTGTGAAAATAATTTAATAGAGAACAAGGATAGAATTTTAAAAGCCTAAAGAGAAAAACATTGGGTCACATTTAGAGGCAAGTGTATCAGAATCACTTTCAATTTCACAGCACAAACTCTAAAAGGCAGAAAGGCTGGGAATGGTGTGCTCTAAGTCCTGAACTATCAACCAAGACTTCTGTGTCCAGTAAAACTACCATTCAAAAATCAAAGGGGAAATTAAAACCTTCCAAGATAAACAGAAACTAAAAGAATTTATGACAACTAAACTAGCACTTCAGAAC